ATATAGATTGTATGTAGAAGCTTCCACATTCAATATATTGTAAGTTAAACCTATAGTATATAGAATGTAATAGTATTCTTTGACGATATAAAGAGAAAAACTTTATTGGTCTAATATTTGCAACTGGTTTCACTGAAACCTATCATCTATTTAATATCAGTCCAATAGATCTTTTTATTAAACACTCCTTAAAACGAGGCTGTAATTGTTAAAATGTAAACAAACCGATGTTTTTTAAAAAAGGAAGTTATTAAATCGGATAATAGAAAGGAGTTTTATATCTTTGTTTGATATTCTTTATATTAATATTAACCTCAATATCAATAATTTCAATATTAACTTATTTTCTTGTTTTCATTAGCTTGTCGTTGTACAACTATGCAGCGATAATAATGAAAAATAATAAAAATTTACACAAAACCTTTCACAAATTTACAATGATAAACTATATAAACAAGGTAGCTGAAAAGAAGATCAAGAGGATATTGTCATCAGAACCTTAAATAAGCCGTTTTTTTCTTAATGCATCACTAAACTTCTTACGATAACGAGATAAATTAAATAAATAATCTTCGTACAATAATGAAAGAAAATAAACTTTATAAAGTATATAGACTAATACAAAAAAAGTATAAACAAAGTAAAATGACTTAATATAAACAAATACAATTTGCTTAGTAACAATATAGAACTAGCAATTTCAAAATGTTACTATTAGTAGTACGTAAATACGTTGTCCATGGAAAGAATAAATATTTAAGTTTAGCTTTAAAAACAGGGTAAGAAAAAGGCAAATCAAAATTTTGCAAAACAACCTTATTCCAAAAACATGGTGCACGATAATCAATAATAATGAAAATTAATGAAAAAAAATATAAAGTTGACATTTTATGGAAAAAATTAAAGACGACTAAGCAACGGTAAAAGATTACTACATCTGTCCAACAACATTTGTGGACTAGTCCAATATTATCTGCACACTTGTCCAAGATCATCTGTATTTTTTTTTTATTACTCTAACAACATCTGTCCAATTGGACAGATTGGTAATTTTTCAAACAAAGATGTAACTACATCTTCCAATTGGACAGATTGGTAATTTTTCTCCAAGTCCAATAACATCTGAATAAATAGCAGTATCATCAACGAACAATGCCACTTTAGAAGATTATTATTGTAAATTAAAAAACTATGGGCTAAGAATAGAACCTTAAGAAACCCCTGAAATTTTATACTTCGATCTGTAATAATGGATTCAATAATCTTAAAAAAGAAAGCTTATGGAGAAGACCAGCATGTCAAGCACATAAAAGAAAGCACATAAAAGAGAAGTCTGTGGATTTAAATCTAGTTTCCCAACAAATGACAAATAGCATAATAGTGATTAGTGAAAAGAAAATTAAATTAATTAGATGTGTAACAATTAAATTTCCTTTTTCCAATAGAAAATTTAACCACTTTCCCAATTGTTTTTCTCTTATACATTCTAAAGTAAAAAATGCCATGTCCAGTTTTCGAAAACTTGATTTATATTATATATATATATATATATATATATATATATATATATATATATATATATATATATATATATATATATATATATATATATATATATATATATATATATATATATATATATATATATATATATATGTATATATATATATATATATATATATATATATATATATATGTATATATATATATATATATATATATATATATATACATATATATATATATATATATATATATATATATATATATATATATATATATATATATATATACATATATATATATATATATATATATATATATATATATATATATATATATATATATATATATATATATATATATATATATATATATATATATATATATATATATATATATATATATATATATATATATATATATATATATATATATATATATGATGAATTATTTATTTTTTTGCTAGTCATTATATTTTTTATTATTATTTTTAGTTGCCCCAAGAAGACCTAACGGTCTTGTCACAGAGCACTGTGGAAGTGCATTTGAGCAGGAAGTTCACGCCTCCTTCCTTACCGTGACGTGAAAATATGTCCAGAGCTCGTTTTGAACCTGGATCTCCTGCTTATAAAGCAGGCGCTCTAACGATAACGGTAAGAACTGTCCTTTTAATTTGTCGTATTAAGATTTTTGATAAAAGATGTTAAACATGAACAGACATTACAACGACGGTCGCTTAACTACTAATTTTATTAATAATATATTAAATCATAAATAAACAAAATAACTAAAAAAAATTAAATAAATATAAGTCAAAATGTAAAAAATTTGGAACAAAACTATTAAATTTTTACAATACTAAACTTTTACAAAAAGAAGCACCACTCACTTGCTCGCCTAATATCGAAAAAAAAAGTCTAGAGTTGGCATCGAAAAGCGTTTGCTTCAGAATCAAGAGATCTGCTCTCTTGATTCTTAAGCAGACGCTGCAACCACAAATTATTGTCTGCTTTAAGTTTAGCTATATATATATATATATATATATATATATATATATATATATATATATATATATATTAGTTATTGAATCAAAATTCAAATTATTAGAACCATTCAATAGTGAGAAAGCGAGAAAGCAGCCGTGGTAGCTAGCTCCTTGAATCCACTCCTTCTTTTTTTAATATTTTTTTTTTACAAGATTACTTTTTTAAAAGTAGTTTTTGAAGCGTCTCCAAGCTCATCACACGCTCTAGATTATCTTGAATAAACTTTACTGTAAGCACAGCAAAGTTGAATTTTTTAATAGAAAGTATTTTTCTTAAAACAAGAAATACGTTTCTTGTTTAAGAAATAAATATCCTACCCTGCAATTTATTTCTAAAACCAAGAGAAATATTTCTTGTTTTGAGAAATAAATTTCTTATATGGTCAATAGATTTACGATTTTGCTGTTAGTTCTGATGAGTTGTTAGCAACTTTGAAAGATTTTGAAAGTTTTGAAATTCATTGTACCCAAAAAATCTGTTCTAAAGTTGTAAAATAAGGTGTCTGTTTTAAAGAACTTTTTTCTTTGTATTTTAAATCTGACTCTAAACTTTTATGCAAACAATATTTTGCAAAATGGTTACTTTTATGACACAAACTATTCTTAAATAATAAGACTAAAACATCAAAACTTATGCAATTAAGTTTTGATTTAAAAATTGCAGAATCAGAAAAGTCTCAGGTCAAAAACCACGATGGCCAGGAGAAAGAAATGTTTTCAGCCATTTTATTGATCTCTCTGAGTATTATACTACTTAGAATAAAAACTTTGCTTTGGATAAATCCAACTTGAATCTTAAGAAATTCAAGGAGCGTTTAACAGCTCCATATTTGTTAATTTTACCTAATAGTCTGATTTTTTTCCGTTTATAATAATCTCGACACTTCTTAAATGTCTAAATGTAAATAATTTGAAAATTAGAAACTTATATATTTTGTTTTTGCAAAAAGGAAATTAAAAATGAAATTTTTTTTATCTTACTTAAATATTTTTTAACCTTTCATGGTTTTATAATATAAATAGTTTGTCCTCCGGATTAACAGTTTTATTTACGACTACGGCTACATGAGGTTCTCCAATATAATGGCAGGAGGTTAACAAGAATAATGGTCGGCCATGAAACTTTGCTAATCTTGCACAAACCCCTTTTAAACAGCTGAGGCTTGAAGTGGGTGAACTGTATGAGATCAAATGAGTCTAACAAATTTTGAATTGCTTTGTATTAAACAGTGATTAAAAACCATATTTTTTTCATTTCAACACGAATTTGTGCGTTTTTAAAATATTACCAGTCAACAAAAATAATAATAACATGAATGCGCACAGTCGAAATAGATAAAAAACCTTCCATTCTTTGCAATGACGTTATTATATATTTAATGATTTATATATTTCAATTTGCACCGAATGTTTGAAAATGTCCTTAAAAACTCAAAAAATGTAAGAAGTTAAATATTGATAGAGTGGCGCCAATATAAATAGTCATCCAAAATAAAAAATAAAAAGATTTCATTCAGAAAACAATTCCTTGGGAATATTTATGACACTCTGCGTAATAAAATTAGTTCATGAGGGTCAAAATAGGATGAGCTATTAACTATGCTAATCGTTTTACACATACAAAACCTATTTTTACTAAAATGAGGTTATTAATAAGTTATTATTATAAGTTTTATGTTTTCCATATTTACGGAAATTATCCCCTACCGCTTTTAATAATACTTTCATCTCAAATCTAACAAATGCAATATGAGAAACATGACTTTTTTTAAAATGATCTGTTTTGTCACACAAAATTTAATCAATTTTGCACACGGTTGTTTAGATGTAGAAAATACGCAAGCGCTGTGTCAAATACAAACATTGCAATTTTTAAGATGGTGACGGCCTTGAGATCCAAATTTTTCTCAGTAGCAACAACATATTTAAAGTTTTACTTAGTAGTTATTATTTGTGTTTTTTTGATAGAATGAAATAATTATTAATTAAGATATACCCTTTTGAAGGCACAGGTTTCGCATTTTTAAAGCAAAAAGATGCATCTCAAATTTGAAGAACAATTAAAAAATCGCAAAATAATTGATTATGATCCAACATTTGCATTGACTACTAAATTTCAAAGACAGTTGTGCAAATTAAGAAAAGAAGGTAAGCTAGACACAAATACATACTTTAAAATGTATCCACCAGATTGTAACCCACCAAGGATTTACGGAATGAATAAAGCTCACAAACCAGAAAAAGATTACCCAATGCGTCCTGTAGTATCAACAATTAACACACTTATTGAACATTTGATTATCTTGTTAAAATTATTCAACCGACTCTGAACAAAAATGACCTATGAGTTCTAACAGTTTTGTAAATGAAGATAAACAATGGATAATAGATCCTAACGAAGTTCAAGTTTCATTTTATATAGTCAATTTATATTCATCCATACCCATTAACGATGCAATTCCGGTTATTATTTGATATATTGAACGCTGACATTGATGACTTAAAAACTCGAACTAAACTTACTCTTGCAGACATACACCAATTAATTGAACTTTCATTAAGTATATTCTATTTTTTATATGGAAACAAAATCCGAATAATACCTAATTCAGGTGCTATAGGTTTATCTTTAATGGTTGTTATGGCGGAGGCGTTTTTACAAAATATAGGAAGAAAGGCCCTCAACACAGCAATTATTCATACATCCGAACCAAAAACTTACAAGAGATATGTATATGATTGTTATGCTCGCTTTGCTTCAATAAAACAACAACAAATGTTCCTGAACATCCTTAATGAACAACATCCTGCAATAAAATACACAGTGGAACTTGAAAGCAACCTTAAACAAATCAATTTCCTAGATATTAATTTAACAAACACAGGTTCTGGAACTTATGAATTTCAAATACATAGAAAAGAAGGTATTACAAATGTTCAACTTAAACCTAACTCAAACATTAATCCTAACATTATTATTGGCTTTTTTAAAGGATATTTATGTCGTGCAAAAAGAATATGCTCTCAAAAACATCTTCAAAAAGAAATTGATTTTCTAATAGATATCTTTATTGAAAATCGCCACGACAAGATAATTGAATTATTGATTAAAAATGATAAAAACAAGATAAAGATGTTTTGGTAGGGTAAGGTTGCCGGTATTGTACCAGCGCCTAAATTGTACTTTTGCTGTAACTATTTTTACAATTTAAAAAATATCGTTTGACTAATATTTTATCTTTGCTGTGTTAAAATAATGAATCAATTTTTTTTTTGTGAGATGAAACAAGATTCTGTCAACAATTACCTCGAGTTGATATGATGCCAAAGTTTTCTTATTTTGTGGTTTAAATATTTATTTATTATTTATTAAGAGTATTACTTTAAACATGTTAAATGTTTTTTTTATCTTATTTATGTGAAAGCATAATTTATGTGAATTCAAAATAACTTCGAAGAAATTAAAATAGAGTAGAACTTGTTGTTTAATTTCGTTATAAACTCAAAGTAAGTCTAGTTGCGTAATTTGTACTTTACTTAAGGGCCTAAGATGTCATTTTGAATTCTGAATATTTATAACTTTTGTCAAGAACAAAGATTTTCTGTTTTGTAATATTAATAGAATGTGCAGTAATATCCATCATTTTTTTAATTCTAGCTACCACATTAGTAAGTAACACATTTAATATAAAAGTTATATCCAGGGGCGGATCCAGCATTTTTTGATCTCGAGATAGCTAACTTCCAGACATGGAGCAAACTTCAAACTTTGTTTATGTTTGTACTTATATCAAATAAAGATGCTTTGCAAAAAATTGCGATGATTGGAGGTTGGGAATAAAAAAGCAACAAGTTGTTGAAATAATTTTTATACTATTTTTAACTAGACTTATATTCATCGATAAATTTTAAATTTCATAGTAAAATAATTTAGCGTTCAAAAATTATGACCATATAAAACTTGCAACTCCCTCAAATTGAGGGGGTTAAACTTTATATGGTCATAATTTTTGAACGCTAAATTATTTTACTATGAAATTTAAAATTTATCGATGAATATAAGTCTAGTTAAAAATAGTATAAAAATTATTTCAACAACTTGTTGCTTTTTTATTCCCAACCTCCAATCATCGCAATTTTTTGCAAAGCATCTTTATTTGATATAAGTACAAACATAAACAAAGTTTGAAGTTTGCTCCATGTCTGGAAGTTAGCTATCTCGAGATCAAAAAATGCTGGATCCGCCCCTATATAAAAAACTGGGATTCTTTGCTACATTTATCTAACGTGATCTTTTTTATATTTTCAAAACTTATTTTTTTTATTTTTTTATTTTACAAGTTAAGATATTTAATATATATAGAAAAAAAAACGCGGAAACTCGTAGAAGTCGTCGAGTACCGCGGTAAAAAGACATTGTTACATTTTTACAAGTTAAATATTTTACGTAGTAAATAAAAAAGTGTTATGCAATAATAAAAGAATAACAAGATTTAAATTTTTTTAATTTACTACAAAAAATAATAAGCTCACAAAAAATTTCTTTAAGATAATTGGACAGATAGTATAATAGCAATATAGGCTTGATAATCGTAAATAATTGAGTTACAAATCATATCAAGAAAAATCATACACTACATTTCATATAAACCGATATAAATAATAGATAAAAAGAGTTTTAAAAGATTTAAAAGTACATTTGTATATTATCAATTTCAAAAACTACTTCTTTCAACTTTTTTTCTAAAAATCTGGTGGTGACAATTTATTATTTTTTACTTTTTTATTTAAATTAGTCTTATTTTGATTTGAAATTGTTTTCAGATCTGAGTATTCGATTTTTTTCAGTTTACCTATCACTACTTTTGTTTGTTTTTTTCATTTTTTTTTTTCCATTTAGGTGCCCTCAGAAGTCTATACGGTTATATCACAGAGCACCGCTGATGAGCATTTAATTCGAAGTTTATGCCTCTAATTCGAAGTTTATGCCAAGGATCCTTTGTTTCTGAGGCAAGTGCGCAACCACTGCGCCACGGCTGTCTCAATTTATAGATGTAACGTAAAATATTTATTATAAATTTTATATACAAATTGTATATAAATTTATGTCACATAGTTTATATAATATGTTAATTATTTGCATTTAATTTATATTTGTTTTTATAATATATATAATATAGTTTATGTAATATATTACAATATAATATAATAAAATCATTGAACAATATACCCAAGTAGCAAACAATATTGGCGTAATATTGGCACGATATTATGTATCTTGGCTAATCTTGGCCAAGTTATCCGATATTGCGCCAATATTGTCAAGCAATATTACGCTAATATTGTCTTACCAATATTGGCAAACAATATTGCGCCAATATTATCCATAATTGTTTTACTGATATTGTTATGCCGATATTGGGGAAATATTGGACCAATATTATGGCATAACAATATTGTAAAATTTAATATAAAGTAAAATTCAATATAAAGCCAATATTGGCAAACAATATTTCGCCAATATTGCAATATTGGCGAAATATTGTTTGCCAATATTGGCTTTATATTAAATTTTACAATTGGTACGCATGCGTAATATTAAGGAATATTCATAATGTCCTTCACTTTTGTTAAATGTGTTTTAATGTAAATAATATGTATGTAAATAATAGCATCTTTTTACATAAACAGGCATCCTTATGTTTACGAAAACAAATAAGAGTTCAAAATAAAAATTTGAATTTATGAAAAGAATAGAAGTAGGAAAAGTATTTTTTATTTCTTTGCAATGACATCGCAAATGGCGGACGCTTTTTTCAAACGGATAAAAACAACTTTTTTAGAGAGGAAAAAAGAAAGAAAAGAAAACATTTATAAATTAAGCCAATAATAAAATCAACTAAAAATAAATATTTTAAAACAAGAAAAGATCATCTGAAAGAATATAAATAAAGAAGTATAAAAAATAGAAGTAAAAATGAATGAAATAAATAAAAAGAATGGAAAAAAAGGAAAAAAAAACTTTATGCATCGAAAAAAGATCGGAAAATGAAGATTTTTTTATTTTTTCATATATTTCTTTTGTTTTATTTCATGTATTTCTTTAGTTTTCTTTCATATTTTTTTAGGATTCATTGTTTACGATTTCATTTTTTATTTAAGCGGTCTTGTAGTAATGATTTTTCTTTAGTTTTTTAGCGTATAAAAATTTACTTATTATTTTTTGTTAGTCATTTATTGTTTTATTTTTTAGTTATTTAATTATTTTTAAATAGTGATATCTAATTTTTTATAGTGTTATATATTTTTTGTTTTTATTTTCGTTTTAACCATTTGTTATAAATGTTTTATTCTACCGTGTATTATTATTACTTTTTTTCTTTCTTTCTTTATTATTTCTAATTTATGTTGTTCTTTTCTTGTAGTTGTTGATGTTTTTTTTTTTTTTTATTGCCAAATGAACTTAACGTAAATTTTTGTTTTGCTTATAATGTTTGTTGTAACTTTTGTTTTGCTTTGATTTTCTCAGTATTTTTCTTTTTTGCATTCTATTTATTTGCTTTGTCATATTATTTGCAATATATTTCGGTTATTATAAGAAAAATATATTTACTAAATCTGTACAATTTTTTTTAGCAGTGGTTGTTTTTATGTCATCGTTAGTTGTTACGTTTTGTCAGTTAATTACTGTTTGTAACTGTAACTTTGCATGTAATAACGATTGTTGTATGGAAAATTTTACTGATTTATTTAAATTATTTTAATTAGTATATTATTATTACTATTGTTAAAATAAAATGTTATTATTTATTATTATTATTATTATTATTATAAATATTATCTTTATTATTATTACTATTTTAATCGTTATCATTAGGTGTTTACGTGAAGTTAGTAGTTTATACTATTTGTAAACAACCTTGAAATGTATGTAAGACCAAATATTTCAGAAAATATATATTGATATTGATATTGATTGATATTGATATTCAACATTTGCAGAGTGAATCAGGAGAATAAGTGTTGGTAATTTATTTTGAAACAGATAGTATCACGAGAAGAAATGGTAAGAGTAATAAAATTCTTTTATTCAACATTACGAATTAAATTACGAGAAGAAGTGATTGTAATTAATTTAAAACATATTGCATCACGAGAAGAATAGGAAAAATATTGTTATACTTAAGTATCAAGATTAAAATAGTAAGTTTACTCTTAAATGAAAACACTTTGAGAAGATTTCATCAATAAAATATAAGTTTTATAGTCTATTTATTTTGTTAAAGATATTCGTTTAAGAAATAAATATGTCATAATTATTGTTTCTAACTGTTATAAGATTTTAACTTACGAAAAAGGTACCCCTGCTTGACACATAATAACATCAATAATATATACACACACACACACACACACACACACACACACACACACACACACACACACACACACACACACACACATATATATATATATATATATATGTATATATTTACATATATATATATATATATATATATATGTATATATTTACATATATATATATATATGTACATATATATATATATATATATATATATATATATATATATATATATATATATATATATATATATATGTACATATATATATATATATATATATATATATATATATATATATATATATATATATATATATATATATATATATATATATATATATATATATATATGATATATATATATATATATATATATATATATATATATATATATATATATATATATATATATATATATATATATATATATATATATATATATATATATATATATATATATACAGGGGTACCTTTTTCGTAAATTAAAATCTTGTAACAGTTAGAAACAATAATTATGACCTATTTATTTCTTAAACGAATATCTTTAACAAAATAAATAGACTATAAAACCTATATTTTATTCTTATTCTCCTTATTCACTTATTCTCCTGATTCACTCTGCAAATGTTGAATAAAAAATACTTTTATATATATATATATATATATATATATATATATATATATATATATATATATATATATATATATATATATATATATATATATATATATGTATATTTATATATATATATATATGTATATATATATATATATATATATAT